CTGATTACGAGGTCAGGAGTTCGAGATCAGCCTGACCAACATGGTGAAATCCCATCTCTACAAAGAATACAAAAATTAGCTGGGCGTGGTGGCTAATGCCTGTAATCCCAGTTACTTGGGAGGCTGACGCAGGAGAATCACTTGAACCTAGGAGGCGGAGCTTGCAGTGAGCCAAGATCAGGCTACTGCATTCCAGCCTGGGTGACAGAGCAAGACTTCTGTGATGTCATCTTGAGGGGTCCAACCATATGTGGTTAATATAAATTCTTGTAGGGGCAATTGATTGGCATGCAAATGCTTATCCTTAGATATATTCAAAGATTACATCATTGTCCGGGCGCGGTGGCTCAAGCCTGTAATCCCAGCACTTTGGGAGGCCGAGGCGGGTGGATCACGAGGTCAAGAGATCGAGACCATCCTGGTCAACATGGTGAAACCCCGTCTCTACTAAAAATACAAAAATTAGCTGGGCATGGTGGCGCGTGCCTGTAATCCCAGCTACTCAGGAGGCTGAGGCAGGAGAATTGCCTGAACCCAGGAGGCGGAGGTTTCGGTGAGCCAAGATCGCGCCATTGCACTCCAGCCTGGGTAGCAAGAGCGAAACTCCTTCTCGGGGGGGGGGGGGGGGGGAAGATTACATCATTTGTTTTGAACTTGGGGAAGCAATTTTATCTCAGTTTCTTAATTGGTGAAATGACTATATTATCACTTATCTAATAGGCTGGGGTGGGCTAAATAGGATCAAGTGTCTAGTACAGGCGTCCCCAAACTTTTTACACAGGGGGCCAGTTCACTGTCCCTCAGACCGTTGGAGGGCTGCCACATACTGTGCTCCTCTCACTGACCACCAATTAAAGAGGTGCCCCTTCCTGAAGTGCAGCGGGGCGCCGGATAAATGGCCTCAGGGGGCCGCATGCGACCTGCGGGCCATAGTTTGGGGACGCCTGGTCTAGTATATACGGGGTTCACAGTTCCAATCTGCAGCCTATTCTATTTGTGCACTGACAGAAACAAACATGAATGACCCTCACTCCTGACTACATTTTATGTCCTATTACTTTTCTCTCTCTCATCTATTTTTCATTTTGGGACATTAGCAATAATTTACGTATCATTTTAAAAGCTGGATTTAATGTTTTTGAATAGAGTGTAATGTAAAAGAAAATACCTCATACCAGAATAGTATAGTTTGGTATTTAAAAATTCTAAAATATTTAATAATTACTATTGATGGGAAGACTGATATACAATGCAATTACTTATTTCACAAGATTCTGTACATCAGGGAGGCATCTTGAAGTACAATACACTAGGCTTTCATTTCTTCTTTACATTATGATTGTGAGTTTCCATGTAAGTTGGTACATGGAAAGGGAACACAAAATCCATTTTTATATACATAAAAACAAAACAAACACCCAAATAGACTTGACCCCCCAAAATGTCTTGTTGCATTTGAAAAGAACATGAATGAGATGAAAGATGAACCACATCACTTGGTGACACACAGAAGGCAAACAAGTAGCTCAGGATATCAAATCCCATTTCAAGCTTGGCACATCAAGGGTAAGAAAGGTAGTGAAAGAAGGGTTTGAAAATGTCATCTCAAGCCACAAAAAATGCTGGCAGAAGACAGTCTCCAAACCAATAAGATAGAATGGTTAGAAGTCAAGTTAGCAGTTATTGTGTGGCTACCTTATTTTATTTATTTATTTTTTTGAGACGGAGTTTCGCCCTTGTTACCCAGGCTGGAGTGCAATGGCGCGATCTCGGCTCACCGCAACCTCCGCCTCCTGGGCTCAGGCAATTCTCCTGCCTCAGCCTCCTGAGTAGCTGGGATTACAGGCACGTGCCACCATGCCCAGCTAATTTTTTGCACTTTTAGTAGAGACGGGGTTTCACCATGTTGACCAGGATGGTCTCGATCTCTCGACCTTGTGATCCACCCGCCTCGGCCTCCCAAAGTGCTGGGATTACAGGCTTGAGCCACCGCGCCCGGCATGTGTGGCTACCTTATATCCAGACCTCTAACAGATTGAGTGGAACTATCACTTATTTTCCATCCCAAGTGTTAGTAAACTTCAAGGAGGCTGGGCACAATGGCTCACACTTGCAAGCTCAGAAATTTGGGAGGCAAAGACAGATCCCTTGAGCCCAGGAGTTCAAGACCAGCCTGGGCAATATGGGAAAACCTTGTCTCTAAAAAAAATACAAAAATTAGCTGGGCATGGTGGCACGTGCTGTAGTCTTAGCTACTTAGACTGAAGTGGGAGGATCGCTTGAGTCCAGGAGGCAGAGGTTACTGTGAGCCACAATTGTGCCACTGCATTCCAGCATGGGTAACAGAGACCCTATCTCCAAAAACAAAACGAAACATATCAAAAAACTTCAAGGAGATGGAGTTTTATTTCTTTTCTTTTTGTTTTTTTGAGATGGAGTCTTGCTCTGTCACCCAGGCTGGAGTGCACTGGGGCAATCTTGGCTCACTGCAACCTTTATCTCCCGGGTTCAAGTGATTCTCCTGCCTCAGCATCTGGGATTACAGGCACGTGCCACCATGCCCTGTATTTTTAGTAGAGACGGGGTTTCACTGTGTTGGTCAGGCTGATCTCGAACTCCTGATCTCAGGTGATCCGCCTGCCTTGGCCTCCCAAAGTGCTGGGATTACAGGCATGAGCCACCATGCCCGGCCTAGGTTTTGTTTTGAACTGATACTCTGATTCTTCAGCAAGTCTTCTTATGTGGGTATGAAAGGATGAAAATCTACTGAAAGATTACATACAGAACAAATAACAGGGACCCACAGAATAAATCAGAAGAAATCTATGAAGTGGCCATGACTTCTTGAACATTAAAGTGAAGGAAAAAAGCCACATTCATCAGATTAAACAGAAACTATTAATATTTTTTTCTTCCATTTATAGTGTGGATAGGAATTAAAGTGAAATAGTGAGACTGTATGTTTTCAAAACAAATTCAAAGAAAGCAACAAAATCTTCTGTTTTAGGAAATCATATTAATATCTATTACAAATACAGAAAGCAGGGGGCCTGAGTCAATGCCCCAGCACCAATGATACTGCTACAGTGTGGAAGAGGAGGGGCAGGTGAGGTGGAAGCTGCCAGAGTCAGCAGGAGGATCAGCTCTGGAGTGAAGAAGCGCGCAGCAGGAGAGGGCAAAGAGCACGGAGGAGAAAAGGGGCGCAGTGGGCCATGATCATGCCCTCCTGGCTTCTCCAGACACCCTTTCCTATGCAGCACCCCATACCCAGCCAGACCTTACTGTCATTCTGGCTGGAAACGTGGGGACCAACAGCTCATAAATGCTCTCACAGAGTTGATACAACTCTGCTTTAAGGAGGAGAATACATTTATTGGTCAAAGCAATTTAAAGAATAACATTTGGTAAATTAAACTACAACAGCCTAAAAATGTAAGCCACAGTTTTCTGCCACATTGGCATTAAGGCTTTTTTTTTTCTTGAAACAGTCTTGCTCTGTCACCCAGGCTGGAGTGCAGTGGCATGATCAGCTCACTGCAACCTCCACTTCCCAGGTTCAAGCAATTCTCCTGCCTCAGCGGCCCCAGCAGCTGGGACTACAGGCACAAGCCACCATGCCTGGCAAATTTTTGTATTTTTTAGTAGAGACAGGGTTTCACCATGTTGGCCAGGCTGGTCTTGAACTCCAGACCTCAGGTGATCCACCCTCCTCAGTCTCCAAAAGTGCTGGGATTATAGGTGTGAGCACCACTGCACCTGAGTTTTTCTTTTTTTTTTTTTGGCAAGGAAGAAATAAAGGGATTTATTGAAAATGAAAGTACACTCCACATTGTGAGAGTGGGCCTGAGCACAGTAGCTCAAAGGCCTTTCTTATTTTTGTATATAGAAAATATACATGCTTTCTCATCTAACCAATTTTTTTTTTTTTAAGTCAGAGTCTCACTTTGTTGTCCAGGCTGGAGTGCAGTGGCATGATGTTGGCTCACTGCACGTTCTACCTTCTGGGTTCAAGCGATTTTCATGCCTCAGCCAGGTGCTATCACGCCTGGCTAATTTTTGTATTTTTAGTAGAGATGGGGTTTCACCATGTTGGCCAGGCTGGTCTCGAACTCCTGACCTCAGGTGATCCGCCCAACCTGGCCTCCCAAAGTTCTGGGATTACAGGCATGAGCCACTATGCCCAGCCTCATCTAACCAGTTTGGATTCTTGTTGCAGTTCAGGAAAACATAAGTTTCCATTACTTCCAGATTATTATTATTATTACATTTTTTTGAGACGGAATTTTGCTCTTGTTACCCAGGCTGGAGTGCAATGGTGCGATCTCGGCTCACCGCAACCTCCGCCTCCCAGGTTCAGGCAATTCTCCTGCCTCAGCCTCCTGAGTAGCTGGGATTACAGGCACGCGCCACCATGCCCAGCTAATTTTTTGTATTTTTAGTAGAGACGGGGTTTCACCATGTTGACCAGGATGGTCTTGATCTCTTGACCTCGTGATCCACCCGCCTCGGCCTCCCAAAGTGCTGGGATTACAGGCGTGAGCCACCGCGCCTGGCACTTCCAGATTATTTTAAGATAAAAATCACAACGACTTTGGAGGAAAAGGAAGAACATGTCAGATCCTGAGCTTCCTCTCAGGCTTGAGTGCCTCAAGAGGACTGTATTGCTGTGTTACGAGAGGTACAGTGCAGTGCTTTCATCTGATATGCCAGTGTGGTAAGAAGGCTTCCCCTGGAGGTAGAGACTCTTTTACCAGAAGGTTGGGGGCCTCCAGAATGTTTTCCCCACCAGGAATTGGATTTGATAGCTGGAATTTAGAGCCTACGCATTTGGGTCTCACCATCAGGGTAGGGCAGGTAAGGCTAATGGTTCAAACTGTGCCTCAGCATAGGAAGTCATCTAGGGGAAGGGGTGTGGTACAGCCAGTAAAACCTGGAACCTGCAAGCGGTCCAGAACTTTGGTGGCCAGTAAGGAAAAAAACCCCTCAAGTATGCTACAATATTGAAAGGTTCAAAAGCACTGAGAAAGTGTTATTTTGCCCCAGATGCAGCCCATAAGAATCTGTTCCAGTGAAATGCTACATTCAAAGAAGTGCTGTCCACCCCAGAAGATCCCAGAGGATGCAATTCTGGCTGTGCCGGGAAGTGCTCAAGTTTCCTCCATATGTCACTCTGGAGAAGGAGCAGCAAAGCAGCCATGTTGAGTTCCTCTCTCAACCTTCGGCATCATGGACGATGGTAGCTAAAAGAAAAAAAAGAGACAAGTTACCACATGATGTACATTGCTTGCTATTAATATATCAGTAGTAATGAAATGTTATATCCTAATTAACACTGCCTCTCTTCTGCTCCAATTCTATCTGACCTTTCTGTTGCATCTGATACTCCTCAACTGCTTCCTTCTTTCTTCAAACTCTTGGCTTCTGTAACAGTACTTTTTCCATAGTTTTCTTTCTTCTTCAATTGATCTTCCTCTGTATGCTGTCCTGGTTCATTTTCCTCTGTCCACCCTTTAAATAGAAAACAACTTCCTGGCCAGGAACCGTGGCTCACACCTGTAATCCCAGCACTTTGGGAGGCCAAGGTGGGCAGATCACGAAGTCAAGAGATCGAGAACATTCTGGCCAACATGGTGAAACCCCATCTCTACTAAAAATACAAAAACTAGATGGGTGCAGTGGCGCATGCCTGTAGTCCCAGCTACTTGGGAGGCTGAGGCAGGAGAATCCCTTGAACCCAGGAGGCGGAGGTTACAGTGAGCTGAGATCACAGCACTACACTCCAACCTGGCAACAGAGTGAGACTCTGTCTCAAAAAAAAAAAAAAAAAAAAAAGAAAAGAAAAAAAAGAAAAGAAAAAGAAAACAAAAACAAAAACAAATCCCAACTTCCTTGGCTGGGCATGGTGGCTCATGTCTGTAATCCCAGCACTTTTGGGAGGCCAAGGTGAGAGGATCATTTGAGCCCAGAAGTTTGAGAGCAACCTGGGCAACATAGGGAGACTCTGTCTTTACAAATGATAAAAAAATTAGCCAGGTGTGGTGGCCTATTATGCCTGTAGTTCCAGTTCCTGAGGAGGCTGAGGTGGGAGAATGTTTTGAACCTGAGAGGTTGAGGCTGCAGTGAGCCATGATCATGCCACTGCATTCCAGCCTGGGTGACACAGTGAGACCTTGTCTCCAAAAAAAAAAAAAAAAAAAAAAAAAATCCCCTCTAAAGGTCCACTGTCTTCTCTCATTCATATCTTTAGACTTTGCTTTCTTTCTGGATTCCTGGCTGCATATCTAAAGGTCTTCTAGTCATCTCCATGTGTCATAGATTCATCAAACTCAACACATGCAACTTATTTTCTAGCTTGTTCGTTGTTTGCTTTCTTCTTTTAGAATAAAAGCTTGGACAGGCATAGTACCTCACACTTGTAATCCCAACACTTGAGGCCAGGAATTCAAGACCAGCCTGGGAAACATAGGGAGACTCTATCTCTATAAAAAAAAAAAAAAGCCGGGCTCGGTGGCTCATGCCTGTAATCCCAGCACTTTGGGAGGCTGAGGTGGGTGGATCACGAGGTCAAGAGATCGAGACCATCCTGGTCAACATGGTGAAACCCCGTCTCTACTAAAAATACAAAAAATTAGCTGGGCATGGTGGCGCGTGCCTGTAATCCCAGCTACTCAGGAGGCTGAGGCAGGAGAATTGCCTGAACCCAGGAGGTGGAGGTTGTGGTGAGCCAAGACTCCAGCCTGGGTAATAAACGAAACTCCGCCTCAAAAAAAAAAAAAATAATAAAGCCTCATTGAGGACAGAGACTTGATATTTTATTTCCTGCTGTATCCCAAGGACCTAGCACTATACCTATCATGTGGTAGGTGCTCAATATTTGTTGAATAAGTGTTCAACTAAACTCCGTATCACCTTCACAGACCTCAAAAAATACAAGTTAGAAATATCACAGTCATTTTGACTACTCCTTTATCTCATCTCTCGAATCCAACAGATTGCTACATCTTGTTGATTCTATGGTTGAAATATCTTTCAAATCTATCTCCTTTGCATTCTTACTGTGGCTTCCCTGGTCTGAGCTACCACTATCCTCACGATGTTTATTTCAGTCACTTCCTGTTTTCCTTGCTGCTATAGTCTCTTCATCCTTCCATATCATCTTCCTTCTTTGCATCAGAGGTTGTTTTGAGATACACAGAATTTCCTGTTTCTAAACTGCCAATGGTTCCAACATCCTAGCATAACAGTCAAAGCATTTCAAGGAGGCACTGCAACTCATTTTCTAGCTTATTTTTACCGCACTGCCCCATACATCGTCTGCTCCAGTTACATCATGTGTTTTCCTCTTTCCCATTGTCTTGCTTAAGCTGGTCCTTCTTTTTTTTTTTTTTTGAGACCCAGTCTTGCTCTGTCACCTAGGCTGGAGTGCAGTTGCACAATCTTGGCTCACCGCAACCTCTGCTTCCTGGGTTCAAGCGATTTTCCTGCCTCAGCCTCTCAAGTAGCTGGGGCTACAGGCATGCTACCATGCCCAGCAAATTTTTGTATTTTTAGTAGAGACAGGATTTCACCATGTTGGCCAGGCTGGTCTCCAACTGGCCTTAAGTGATCCACCCACCTCAGCTTCCCAAAGTGTGGGGATTACAGGTGTGAGCCACTGTGCCTTGTCTATACTGGTCCTTCTGCTTACAAGGTTCTTTCCTTCCTTTTTGTTCAGATTAATTTTTTTATATACCTTAAGATCTAGCATAAATGTCACATTCTCTATGACTCTTTCATTTAGCAAAAACTGTGCTTTTTAGCAATGGCATCTTACTTTGTTGCCCAGGCTTCAGTGTAGTGATAAGACCATAGCTCACTGCCGCCCTAATCCCCCAGGCTCAAGTGAATTTCCCACCTCAGCCTCCCGGGAAGCTGGACTACAGGAGTGTGCCACTGCACCTGGCTAACTTTTTTAAAATTTATTTTTTGTAGAGATGGGGCTTGGCTAACACCCTTTTTGGCCTGAGCCCACCTGTACCCATGTGAATTAAAAAAAAAAAAAAAAAAAAAAAAAGAGATGGGGCTCACTATGTTTCCCAGGCTGGTCTCAAACTCCTGGGATCAAGTAATCCTCCCACCTCCGCCTCCCAAAGTGCTAAGATTACAGGTATGCACCACTGTGCCAGGCCCCTGACTAATTAAAAAAAAAAAAAAAAAAAATATATATATATATATGTATATTTATATATTTTAAAAAATATGCATTTTTTTGCAGAGATAGTCTTTTATGTTGCTCAGGCTGGTCTCAAACTCCTGTGCTCAAGCGTCAAGCCATCTTCCCACCTTGGCCACTCAAAGTATCGGGATTACAGGCATGAACCACTGCACTCAGCCTTATTTGGTGTCTTTTAAAATAAATATTCTAAGAATCATGTAAAGATACTTCACTGATTCCATTTGTGGCTAGCTGATTCTTTGGATATGGGTGGGTCCTTAATCACAACAGTAATTCCAAATCAAAATACTTTGTTGGATTTCTTGACTTGTTTCATGAGGACAGCTAATTAAAATGTTTATACACTAAGTTGGTAAGATCAACTGTGCTAGACAGAACTGAAACTAGAGAGGGCAAGATCTTGTCTAACTTAGTGCAGTCTCCTCATTTATAACCTGAGAGAGTAAGGTACAAGGAAGAGAGCACCCCATATCCTTGAAGTCATTGATTTTTTTCTTTCTTTTTTTTGAGATGGAGTTTCGCTCTTGTTACCCAGGCTGGAGTGCAATGGCGCTGTCTCGGCTCACTGCAACCTCCTCCTCCTGAGTTCAACCAATTCTCCTACCTCAGCCTCCCGAGTAGTTAGGACTACAGGCACGCACCACCATGCCCAGCTAATTTTTGTAGTTTTAGTAGAGACGGGGTTTCACCTTGTTGACCAGGATGGTTTTGATCTCTTGACCTCGTGATCCACCTGCCTCGGCATCCCAAAGTGCTGGGATTATAGGCGTGAGCCACTGTGCCCGGCCCATTGATTTCTTTCTCTAAATCCTGGTTCTGCAATTTACTAGCAAGTCAAGCAAGTTACTTAACCATTGTGAGTCTCCACTTCCTCACTGATAAAATGGGTATGTTATCATATCTTTGCATGTTTATTGCAAGAATTAAATAAGATAATATACATAAAACACCACAATCAGCATAGGCATTTACTATTTTTTTTTTTTACAAGAGCACAAATCCACATTTATTTATTGACTTTTCATTAGTTCTAAATCCTTGAGGGGTACAGCATCACTTGGATTCTGTGTCCAATGGTCTTACCAGGAAGGTTGCTTCGGAATTTGGCACGAACCATACCACTGTTTCCGCGGGCCCGAGTTACCTTTCCCCAGATTATTCTGGTTTTGTTTGGTTTGCCACCAGGAGTCACTGTGTTGTTCTTTGCTTTGTATACATAAGCACGTCTCTTGCCCAAATAGAATTCCGTTTCATCTTGGGCATAAACACCTTCAATTTTAAGAAGAGCTGTGTGCTCCCTTTGGTTCCAGAGACCCCGCTTATAGCCGGCAAAAATAGCCTTGGACCACAGCCTTCCAGACATAGTTCCTTTTATAAGTCCCGTTCCCAGCAGGCCTCCAAATTTCAGCAGCAGGTGCTTCTCTACTATTTTTTTTTTTTTTTTTTTGGAGACAGAGTCTGGCTCTGTTTCCAGGTGCCAGGCTGGAGTGCAGTGGCATGATCTCAACTCACTGCAACCTCTGCCTCCCAGGTTGAAGCAATTATGCCTCAGCCTCCCAAGTAGCTGGGACTACAGGCATGTGCCACCACGCCCAGCTAATTTTTGTATTTTTTAGCAGAGATGGGGTTTCACCATGTTGGCCAGGATGGTCTCGACTCCTGACCTTGTGATCCACCCGCCTCGGCCTCCCAAAGTGCTGGGATTACAGGTGTGAGCCACCGCACCCAGCCGACATTTACTATTTTTATTTTTTGAGATGGAATTTCGCTCTTGTTGCCCAGGCTGGAGTGCAATGGTAAAATCTCGGCTCACTGCAACCTCCCCCTTCCTGGTTCAAGCGATTCTCCTGCCTTAGCCTCCCGAGTAGCTGGGATTACAGGCACCTGCCACCATGCCAAGCGAATTTTTGTATTTTGGTTTTGTTTTGTTTTTGAGACGAAGTCTCACTCTGTCACCCAGGTTGGAGTGCAGTGGTACAATATCGGCTGGCTGTAATTTCTGCCCCCGGGTTCAAGTGATTCTCCTGCCTCAGCCTCCCAAATAGCTGGGATTACAGGTGTGCACCACCACACCTGGCTAATTTTTGTATTTTTGGTAGAGACGGGGTTTTACCATGTTGGTCAGGCTGGTCTTGAACTCCTGACCTTGTGATTCATCTGCCTCGGCCTCCCAAAGTGCTGGGATTATATGCATGAGCCACCACACCCGGCCTAGGCATTTACTATTGCTTCTTATTTCATCCCTTTATTTTTTTTTATTTTTATTTTTTTGAGACAGAGTTTCGCTCTTGTTACCCAGGCTGGAATGCAATGGCGTGATCTCGGCTCACCGCAACCTCCGCCTCCTGGGTTCAGGCAATTCTCCTGCCTCAGCCTCCTGAGTAGCTGGGATTACAGGCACGCGCCACCATGCCCAGCTAATTTTTTTGTATTTTTTTTAGTAGAGACGGGGTTTCACCATGTTGACCAGGATGGTCTCGATCTCTTCACCTCGTGATCCACCCGCCTCGGCCTCCCAAAGTGCTGGGATTACAGGCTTGAGCCACCGCGCCCGGCCCCTATTTCATCTCTTTAAATGTAGTCTTGTAATCAACACCGTTTTCCTTTTTACTGACGTCATTAGAGTCCTTCATATCTGAACAACGTTTTTTTGGAAAACTCCATCTAGTGCATAGATGATCAGGTCTTTTAGGTCTTACCGTGTAAAATGTTTGCTTTCTTCATGAACCTCCATCTCAGAGCTTTTAAATTCATTTAATTCTTTTCTTATGGCAGCCTGTGGAGTAGAAACAAAAATGTTTCCGTTTCTTCTGCCTGCTTTGTACAGCAGTGTAACTTGCCATTTTTCTCTACTGTGTTTAACTTTCTAAGTCACTCCAACCCCTCACTGGCAACCCAGACACCAGGTCAACACTATGATACCATTTGTCTCATAATAAACCTAAAATTTTGAGTTGAATCAAAATACTTGAAAATCTGAAAGAGATATTGTAGTTTTTATAGTTTTTTTTTTTTTTTTTTTTTTTTTTTTTTTTTTTTTAAGGCAGAGTCTTGCTCTGTCACCCAGGCTGAAGTGCAGTTGTACAATCTCAGCTCATTGCAACCTCCGCCTCCTGGGTTCAAACAATTCTCTTACCTCAGCCTCCTGAGTAGCTGGGATTACAGATGCATGCCACCATACTCGGCTAATTTTTATATTTTTAGTAGAGACGGGGTTTCACCATGTTGGTCAAGCTGGTCTCGAACTCTTGACCCCAAGAGATCCACCCACTTTGGCTTCCCAAAGTGTACTGATTACAGGCTTGAGCCACTGTATCTGGCCAATTTTTTTTTTTTTTTTTTTTTTTTTTTTTTTGAGATGGAGACTCACTGTGTTGCACAGGTGGAGTGCAGTCATGCGATCTCCGCTCACTGCAACCTCTGCCTCCTGGGTTCAAGCAATTCTCTGCCTCAGCCTCCTGAGTAGCTGGGATTACAGGCACCTGCCACCATGCCCAGCTAATTTTTTTGTATTTTTAATATTTTTTTGTATTTTTGTATTTTTTTTTTTTTTTTGAGATGGAGTTTCACTCTTGTTACCCAGCCTGGAGTGCAATGGTGCGATCTCGGCTCACCGCAACCTCCGCCTCCTGGGCTCAGGCAATTCTCCTGCCTCAGCCTCCCGAGTAGCTGGGCTTACAGGCACACATCACCATGCCCAGCTAATTTTTTGTATTCTTAGTAGAGAAGGGGTTTTACTATGTTGACCAGGATGGTCTCGATCTCTCGACCTCGTGATCCACCCGCCTCGGCCTCCCAAAGTGCTGGGATTACAGGCTTGAGCCACCGCGCCCAGCTATTTTTTTGTATTTTTGTATTTTTCGTATTTCACTATCTTGGCCAGGCTAGTCTTGAACTCCTGATCTCATGATCTACCCACCTTTGCCTCCCAAAGTGCTGGGATTACAGGCATGAGCCACTGTGCCCACCCCTAATTTTTTATTTTTTTTTGAGATGGAGTCTCGCTTTGCTGCCCAGGCTGGAATGCAATGGCATGATCTTGGCTCACTGCAACCTCCACCTCCTGGGTCCAAGCAATTTTCCTGCTTCAGCCTCCTGAGTAGCTGGGATTACCGGTGCATGCCATCACACCCAGCTAATTTTTGTATTTTTAATAGAGACAGGGTTTCACTATGTTGGCCAGGCTGGTCTTGAACTCCTTACCTCAAATGATCCCTCTGGCTTGGCCTCCCAAAGTGCTAGGATTACAGGCATAAGCCACCATGCCTGGCCAGCTTTTATAGTTTTTCACCGCATTATAAAAATAGAATATGGGTAATTACTAAAATATGTAGCCCAAACTCCCTCTAACCAAACAACCACTGGTTAAAATATATTTATTTCTTCCAGTATTTTTATTCTGTGATATAGCAGGGATTTTCTTTCTTTCAGTTATTGGTGATGGAGTTACCAAAACATTATACTGAGTTAGTATAACATTTTGACTTGTACAACTTGGCATTTTGTATCTTGATTTGAAATTTAGTATTATATTAAAACTAGAAGCTTTGTTTATGGTTCTCCCTTCTACTTAGTATCTTGCATCCTTCAAATAAAGAGAAAATCAGAAAAAGAGCAAGAGAGTGCTTTTCAGATACCTTGTCAGCAGGGGTCAGTTTGGTCCAAGGTTTGTCAGCTCGCCGGTCATAATCTTGAGCATCTGTTACCTCTACATATTCATTAAACCTCAGAATCTTCCTGGCAAGGAGTTCAGCCACAGTTGGCCTTTGACTGAGCTGAAGGAAATGGAGCCTCTTAGTTCACTAAGCCAAGAATTAGGCATCAATCATGCATTCAAATTGCCTCTAACCCAGTGCTTCAACCTTCACTGGAATCACCTGGGGGAGTTTAAACACTACTGATACCCGGAGATCACACCCCCAGTGGTTTTTTTTTTTTTTTTTTTTTTTTTTTTGAGACAGGGTCTTGCCCTGTCGCCTAGACTGGAGTGCAGTGGCACCATCACAGCTCACTGTAGCCTCAACCTTCAGAGCTCAAGTGATCCTCCTACCTCAGCCTCCTGAGTAGCTGATAGTATAGGTGCACACCACCATGCCCGGCTAATATTTATTTTTATTTTTGTAGAGATTGGGTCTTGCCATGTTGCCCAGGCTGCAAATTCATTTTCTTTTCTTTCTTTTTTTCAAATGCAGAAACAAAGTCTCACTGTTTTCCCCAGGCTGGTCTTGAACTCCTGGGCTCAAGCAATCCTCCTGCCATGGCCTCCCAAAGTGCTGGGATTACAGGAGTGAGCCACTGTGCCCAGCTTCAAATTCATTTCTTTCCAATCAAATAGGTCATCCAAATATAACACATACAGTTAACTGAACACATGGGCAGTAGTACCTTTCTAGTGAGCCGACGTTTAATCTCTCGTTTTTCTGCCTGACGATCAGCTTCATTTTTAGCTATAGTTGACAATCAGAAGGAAAGAATATTACTCACAAATGAGAATTTGTGTATCAAATTTTTTTTGAGACGGAGTTTCGCTCTTGTTACCCAGGCTGGAGTGCAATGGTGCGATCTCGGCTCACCGCAACCTCCGCCTCCTGGGTTCAGGCAATTCTCCTGCCTCAGCCTCCTGAGTAGCTGGGATTACAGGCATGCGCCACCATGCCCAGCTAATTTTTTGTATTTTTAGTAGAGACGGGGTTTCACCATGTTGACCAGGATGGTATCGATCTCTTGACCTCGTGATCCACCTGCCTCGGCCTCCCAAAGTGCTGGGATTACAGGCTTGAGCCACCGCGCCTGGCCTATCAAATGTTTCAGTAATTACATTACAGATATTTCTTATAGGCCCAAATCAGAATAAAATACTAACTTTGGGGATGGCTAAACAAGATAATTTTCTTGTCAATGATACAAATACTTAAGAGCAAGAGTCAGCAAACCATGGCACTGCATCTCACCAGTTGCCTGTATTTTTACTAGCCATGAACTAAGAATAGTCTTTACATTTTTATTATTATTATTATTGAGACAGACTCTTACTCTGTCAAGAGGCAGGAGTGCAGGGACGTGATCTTGGCTCACTGCAACCTCTGCCTCCTGGGTTCAAGTAATTCTAATTCTCCTGCCTCAGCTTCCCAAGTAGCTGGGACTATAGGTGCATGCCACCATGCCCAGCTAATTTTTGTATTTTTAGTAGAGATGGGGTTTCACCATGTTGGCCAGGATGGTCTTGATCTCTTGACCTTGTGATCCACCTGCCTTGGCCTCCCAAAGTGCTGGGATTACAGGCGTGAGCCACCACGCCCTGCCAGAGGTAAGAAAGTCTTACGGGATTAAAGCAAGAGGAAGACTGTTGTATTTGGGACTTGCTCTGGGCCTCAGCCCTCAGATGCTAGGAACAGGAAGGTCTCCACATGCACGGCTACCTCCGTAGCTCCCTGAACAAAGAAAAACTGGGCACATCTCCCACATACTGTCAAATCCTCCCAAATGCCCAAGGCAGTTTCAGAATATGGGAGAACACTGAAACAAAGTTTTCTAGAGTATCACAGCACACTAAACAATACCATAATAGCATCTTTCAAAGGAAGCTTGGGAAACTCTGTTCATGAGAAAATAAATAGTCCTTGCCTGGCATAGTAGCAAGACTATAGTCTTGCCAACACTCTCCTATAGCCCTTGTAGCAAATGCTTCTTTTCTCTTTTATGTATATTAAAGTCAGAAACATACAACGAAAATCTATACTTTATTTCCATAACTGGACTCACGTTGCAATATATTGCGTTGTTCTAGTTCTTCTGGTGTTGGTCTTTGACTCAGTCGCCTAAAAATGAGAGAAATAAGGATAATGTTTATGTTAAACCTCCCAATCTTGTTTATAAAGTGGCCATAGTATATATTAGCCCCTATTCAAGTAAGAAATCAACAAAATGATATATTTCATTTATAATCGTTTATAAAACAATTTCACATTAAAAGTGTTAACACAGATATAACATTATAAAAAGGAACTGTATATGCAAACAAGTGGCCAGGATTGTAGTCCTAGACCTTGATAAGAGCTATTAGCACAAAAAAGCTCAGTTAAACCTTGAGTGTCCTCATCTGGGAAGTGAAAGTTTGTACCGAACTAGTGGTTCCCAAACAAATTTGCTCCTTCGGAAGCATTAGAGACTTTTTAGAAAACGCAGATTTCCAAGGAATGTTAACAGAAATTCAGATTCAGAAAATCAGGATGAAAAATATATCTATCTATATGTATTTTTTTTATACAAAACTTCTCCTATGACTCAGAAGTCCCTCTTTAAATTTCTTTGTTGTTGTTTAAACATTTAAAAAAATACAGATGGGGTACCACTATGTTGTCCAGGACAGTCTTGAACTCCTGGGCTCAAGCTCTTCCTTCCTTGGCCTCCCAAACTGCTGGGATTATAGGCACAAGCCACTGTGCTTGGCTAGGTTTTTAAATCAGTGATTTAGGAACCACTGGAATTTAAGTTTGTCTTTTTCTGGTGATATTCTATAATTCTGTGATTTAAGTTTCAGTCTTCTCTGTGAAGTAGTTGATAAAGTTATCTCACCTGATCACAATTTTGAGCCGTTAATTCGCCAATAACAATTTATCTGCCAGGTGCAGTGGCTCACGCCTGTAATCCCAGCACTTTGGGAGGCTGAAGCTGGTGGATCACCTGTGGTCAGGAATTTGAAACCAGCCTGGCCAACATGGTGAAACCCCATCTCTATTAAAAAATATAATAATTAGTCGGGTGTGGTGGCTTGCTACTATAGTATCAGCTACTTGGGAAGCTGAGGCAGAAGAATGCTTAAACCTGGGAGACGAAGATTGCAGTGAGCTGAAGCTTGTGCTACTACACTCCAGTCTGGGCAACAGAGTGAGACTCCGTCTCAAAAAACAACAACAATAAACCACAATTTGTCATTTCTGAGATCAGAAAGTTATTCATTTCTTACTTTTAATTTATACTTCTAAGACAGTATTTACTAATTAGCTAGTACTTGCTAATTTTTCAACTCCTTTGTTGCTTGCATAAAGAACTTCCAGTCCCATTCTATATACAACTTTTCTTCTTTCTGAACAAGACCTTCCTTTTTTTTTGAGTCAGGGTCTCACTCTGTCACCCAGACTAGAATGCAGTGGTACAATCACAGCTCACTGCAGCTCTACCTCCTGGGCTCAAATGATCCTCCCACCTCAAGGTCCTTCCATTTTATTAAAAAATTTTTTAAAATTTATTTTGAGACTGGTCTGATTAATTTTTGTACTTTTGGTAGAGACGGGGTTTTGCCATATTGCCCAGGCTGGTCTCAAATTCCTGGGCTCAAGTGATTTACCTACTCAGCTCAGTCTCACAAAGGGCTTGGATTAGAGGTTGTGAGCCACCACACCCAGCTAGACCTTCCTTCCCCTCTCCTTTTTTTTTTGAGACAAGAGTCTTACTCTGTCACCCAGGCTGAGTGTACTGGTGCCATCTCAGCTCACTGCAACCTCTGCCTCCTGGGTTCAAGCAATTCTCCTGCCTCAGCCTCCTGAGTATCTGGGACTACAGGCACGCTCCACCATGCCCAGCTAATTTTTGTATTTTAGTAGAGATGGGATTTCACTATGTTGGCCAGGATAGTCTCAATCTCTTGACCTAATGATCCGCCCACGTCGGCCTCCCAAAGTGCTGGAATTACAGGTGTTAGCCACCGCTCCCGGCCGTCAGTCTTTTAAATTGCATAACTTTAGCCATCCTAGTGGACTTGTGGTGGTATCTCATTACGAGTGTCTGTTTTTAAATTTCAATCTTATTTTATAGTGACAACAACATTTGCTTTGGAGATCTACCTCTGAACAAATTTTAAAGTGTACAATACAGTATTAGCTATTTACTTATTTATATATAGACACACACACAGACACACACACACACACACACACACACACACAGTATCGCTCTGTTGCCCAGGCTGGAAGCAATTCTCCTGCCGCAGCCCCCTTGCTAGCTGGGATTACAGGTGCCCTCCACTACGCCTGGCTAATTTTTGTATTCTTAGTAGAGATGGGGTTTCACCATGTTGGTCAGGCTGGTCTTGAACTCATGATCTTGTGATCCATCTGCCTCGGCCTCCCAAAATGCTGGGATTACAAGTGTGAGCCACTGCACTGGGTCTACAGTATTAACTATAAACACGATGTTGTACAGCAGATCTCTAGAACTTACTCATCATGCATAACTAAAACTTTATACTTATTTATTAGCAACTCCCTATCACCCCAGCCTCCAATCCCCCAGCCCCTGACAACTACCATTCTACTCTCTGCTTCTATGAATGTGACAATTTCTGATACCTCACAGAAGTGGAATTGTGCAGTATTTATTGTTCTGTGACTGGTTTATTTTACTCATCCTGGCTAACATGGTGAAACCCTGTCTCTACTAAAATACAAAAAAATTAGCCGGGCACGGTGGTGCATGTAGTCCCAGCTACTTGGGAGGCTGAAGCAGGGGAATCACTTTAACCTGGAAAGCAGAAGTTGCAGTAAGCTGAGATCTTGCCACTGCACTCCATCGCAAAAAAAAAAAAAAAAAAAAAAAGGAGGCAGTTACATGGAACATAAGAAACAGATATAATGCAAATATGGGTGTGACTGTTAATTGGGTTGGCATTTTATGGTTAAACAACCAGATTAAAAAAGTGACAGAGGAGCGTTTCTGCTCTGGGAACCATTCTGATTTCTGTAGAAACTTTTGCAAAACTGTATGTCTGTCTCATGGCTGGGTGTGGTGGCTCATGCCTGTAATCTCAGCACTTTGGGAGGCGGAGGCAGGTGGATCACCTGAGGTCGGGAGTTCTAGACCAGCCTGACCAACATGGAGAAACTCCGTCTCTACTAAAAATACAAAAATAGCTGGGCGTGGTGGTGTGCCCCTATAGTTTCAGCTACTTGGGAGGCTGAGGCAAGAGAATTGCTTGAACCTGGGAGGCAGAGGTTGTGGTGAGCCAAGATTGTGCCATCGCACTCCAGCCAAAGAACGAAACTCCGTCTCAAAAATAAAAAAATAAAATACAGCTCTCACAGGCAGCTACATCCTAAATTTCCAAATTCTTAGAGGATACCCAACTGTGCTCAATACGTATTTTTTTTGTTTCTTTCCTTTTTTGTGTGTTGTCAGGCCCAAAGGGCCTCTTCCATCCTTGTCAAGAGGAGTGCTAACCTTCTCCCTTTTCATACAAAACCCAATATGTATTTTTATTTTATTTTTTATTTTTTTAGAGACGGAGTTTCGCTCTTGTTACCCAGGCTGGAGTGCAATGGCACCATCTCGGCTTACTGCAACTTCCGCCTCCTGGGTTCAGGCAATTCTCCTGCCTCAGCCTCCTGAGTAGCTGGGATTACAGGCACACACCACCATGCCCAGCTGATTTTTTGTATTTTTAGTAGAGATGGGGTTTCACCATGTTGACCAGGATGGTCTCGATCTCTTGACCTCGTGATCCACCTGCCTCGGCCTCCCAAAGTGCTGGGATTACAGGCGTGAGCCACCGCGTCCGGCCTCCAGTATGTATTTTTAAAAATTATACTCAAAGTGGCCAGACGCAGTGGCTCATGCCTATAATCCCAGCACTTTTGGGAGGCTGAGGTGGGCAGATCACAAGGTCAGGAGTTCAAGACCAGCCTGGCCAACATGGTGAAACCCTGTCTCTACTAAAAAAAATACAAAAAAAAGTCGGGTGTGGTGGCATGCACCTGTAATCCCAGCTACTCAGGAGGCTGAAGCAGGAGAATCACTTGAACCTGGGAGGCAGATGTTGCAGTGAGCCAGGATTGCGCCACTGCACTCTAGCCTGGGTGACAGAGCGAGACTCTGTCTTAAAATAAATAAATAAATAAATAAATTTTAAAAATTATATGCAAAGTGGTGGGTGTGGTGGCTCACACCTGTAATCTCAGCACTTTCAGAGGCCAAGGTGGGAGGAAGGTTTGAGGCCATGAGTTTGAGACTGGCCTGGGAAACATAGAGAGACCCTGTTTCTACAAAAAATTACAAAAATTAGCAGGGCATGATGGCACATGCCTAAGGACCCAGTTACTCAAGAAGCTGAGGCAAGAAAGTGCTTTGAACCCAAGAGCTGGAGGCAGTGAGCCATGACTGAACCACTGTACTCTGGCCTGGATGACAGAGCAAGACCCTCTCTGAAAAAAAAAAAATGCGCTAAAAAAGATAAATGAATGCTCCACTACAAAGTAAACATCTAGGCTGGATGTAGTGGCTCATGCCTGTAATCCCAGCACTTTGGGAGGCCAAGGTGGGTGATCACTTGAGGTCAGCAGTTTGAGACCAGGCTAGCCAACATGGAGAAACCCTGTCTCTGCTAAAAATACAAAAATTAGCCTGGCATGGTCACAGGCCCCTGTAAACCCAGCTACTCAGAAGACTGCAGCACAAGAATTGCTTGAACCTGGGAGGCGGAGGTTGCAGTGAGCCGAGATTGCGCCACTGCACTCCAGCCTGAGTGACAAGGTAAGACTGTCTCAAAAAAAAAACACCCACATTTAACAATATCTAACACAAATACTGGCATACCAAATCAATCAAGCCAATGTAAGCAAAGGCCTACCGGATCAGTGTGTTTCCAATCTGGTGCCGTATTTCATTCCACTCTTCCTTGCTTTTACAAGGCCAAGAATTCAGGTTCAACTCTGGTTCACTGGGTCTGTGGTTCAACTTCATTGCCAGTGTGTCTTTCCTCTTCACTTTGTTGGCCAGAGCACCTTTGCACATGGGAAGAAAATAATGTAGGACTTGAAGCTTGAAGCAAAAGGTTCAACCTTACCTGGAGCTAGGCAGGAGTCTGAACAACTACAATACTTAACTTCCAGTTCTCACCTGGCCTCAAACGATCCAGCCAAACACTGAGGTGGGGGTAAAGCTAAAGACACCTAAAAATCTTTTTAGCCAGATGGACTCAGATGGTTAAAAGGTATCTTCTCTTTTCTATCATTCCTCTACATTTTTCCTCCTTGGTAAGAGTTGCTACAGTAGAGAGAATCTAAGCATGGGACAGCCCTCTGAATTAAAACATGAAAGCTTTCATACTAACACCTCATATTCTGTCTGTTTTTAAAGCTGCCTTTCTACTTTAATTAACCAGGACTCAATTATGTGCAAAGACATGTGGGCATGAACATGTTTAATTTTCTCTGCCCTATGGCAGAGAAAGGAAAACCATCATTAGACCAAAGGAAAAATACCACTTTTTTTTTTTTTTTTTTTTTTTTGAGACAGAGTTTCACTCTTGTTACCCAGGCTGGAGTGCAATGGCGAGATCTTGGCCCACCACAACCTCTGCCTCCTGGGTTCAAGCAATTCTCCTGCCTCAGCCTCCCAAGTAGCTGGGACTACAGGCATGCGCCACCATGCCCAGCTAATTTTTGTATTTTTAGTAGAGATGGGGTTTCACCTTGTTGACCAGGATGGTCTCGATCTCTTGACCTCATGATCCACCCGCCTCGGCCTCCCAAAGTGCTGGGATTATAGGCGTGAGCCACCGCACCCGGCTGAAAAATACCACTTTTACCTTTTCACCTTAGCCCGTGTGCCACCTTTCCTCTCCTCCGTATTTTTATTTTTTGAGATGGAGTCTCCCTCTGTCACCCAGGCTGCAATGCAATGGTATGATCTCGGGTCACTGCAACCTCTGTCTCCCAGGCTCAAGCGATTCTCCTACCTCAGGCTCCCAAGTAGCTGGGGTTACAGGTGCCCACCCCCATGCCTGGCTAATTTTTTGTATTTTTAGAAGAGATGGGGTTTCACCATGCTGGCCAGACTGGCCTCAAACTCCTCACCTCAGGTGATCTACTCATCTTGGACTCCCAAAGTGCTGGGATTAGAGGTGTGAGCCACTGTGCCCGGCCCTATATTCTTTAATATCATTAAGGTGAATAGTTTTTAAATTGGAGGCAAACAAAAACCTGAATTTAGTAAAGCCATTATGGAAAATGGTATGGAGGTTCCTCAAAAAACTGAAAATAGGCCAAGTGAGGTGGCTCATGCCTGTAATGCAGCACACTGGGAGGCCAAGGAAGGAGGATTGCTTGAGGCTATAAGTTTTTTTTTTTTTTTTTTTTTTTTTTTCTGAGACGGACTTTCGCTCTTGTTACCCAGGCTGGAGTGCAATGGCGCGATCTCGGCTCACCGCAACCGTAACCTCCGCCTCCTGGGTTCAGGCGATTCTCCTGCCTCAGCCTCCTGAGTAGCTGGGATTACAGGCATGCGCCACCATGTCCAGCTAATTTTTTGTATTTTTAGTAGAGGCAGGGTTTCACCATGTTGACCAGGATGGTCTCGATCTCTTGACCTCGTGATCCACCTGCCTCGGCCTCCCAAAGTGCTGGGATTACAGGTGTGAGCCACCGCGCCCAGCGAGTCTAGAAGTTTGAGACCAATCTGGGCAACACAGCAAGACTCCGTCTCTATTTAAAAAAGAAAACAGCCGGGCGCGGTGGCTCAAGCCTGTAATCCCAGCACTTTGGGAGGCTGAGGCGGGTGGATCACGAGGTCAAGAGATGGAGACCATCCTGGTCAACATGGTGAAACCCCATCTCTACTAAAAACACAAAAAAGTAGCTGGGCATGGTGGCGCTTGCCTGTAATCCCAGCTACTCAGGAGGCTGAGGCAGGAGAATTGCTTGAACCCAGGAGGCGGAGGTTGCAGTGAGCCGAGATCGCGCCATTGCACTCCAGCCTGGGTAACAAAAGCGAAACTCCGTCTCAAAAAAAAAAAAAAAAAAAAAAAGAAAACAAAACAAAAAAAATTCCCTTAAAAATAGAACTACCCTTCAAAGTATCAAGTCACCTGCACTCATGAAAAAACAAAAATAGAACTACCATATGATCCAGCAATCCCACTGTCGGGTACATATCCAAAAGAAAGGAAATCAGTAAATCAATCAATCATGTTTATTACAGTACTACTTATAAACCCCAAGATATGGAATCAGACTAAGTGTCCAACAGTGAATGAAGGGATAAGAAAAAGTGGTGTATATATACAATTGAATATTATTCTGCCAAGAAAAAGAAAGAAATCCTGTCATTTGTAACAAAATGGATGGAACTGGAGGACATTACCTTAAGTGAAATAAGCCAGGCACAGAAAGATACATGTTGCATGTTCTTATTCTTATGTGGGAGCTGAAAAAGTTGATCTCATGGAGGCAGTAAAGAAAATGGTTAGCAGAAGCTGGGAAGGGTAGAGAGGATACGGGATAGACAGGTTGGTTAACAGGTATAAAAACAGAACTATACAGAAGGAAATAAGATCTAGGTCAGGAGAGGTGGCTCATGCCTGTAATCAAAGCATTTTGGGAGCTGAGGTAGGCAGATCACTTTGAGCTCAGATCGAGACCAGCCTGGGCAACATGATGAAACCCTCTCTCTACAAAAAAATATGAAAATGAGCTGGGCATAGTGGCTCACGCCTGTGTTCCCAGCTACTTGGGGTTTGAGGCTGAAGCGTTGCTTGAGACAGGAAGTGGAGGTTCCAGTGAGCTGAGATTGTGCCACTGCACTCCAGACTCCCCCCTGCCCCCACCCCCCCCAAAAAAAAGATCTTCCTCCTGTAGACATCTGTAGTCCTAGCTACTTGGGAGGCTGAGGTGGAAGGATCACCTGAGCCCTGGAGTTCGAGGCTGCAGTGAGCTATGATTGCACCACTGTACTCCAGCTGGGTGACAAAAAACAAAAAAAAAAAAATTAAAACAAAAAAACCCCAAAAAGTCTAAAACCTGAGTGACTCAATCTACTTGGATCTCTGTCTTGGCTTGTTTTAACACAGGGATGGTAGTAGAGATAAGGAGTCCTTCACAGTGGCTTCCAGTATCAGTTAGCTAGATGACTTACTGGGAGAAGGTACCTGCCCATATTTCTTTTGACACTTGCTAAGATCAGCAAATAGCTTTATCTGGAAAATAATTCTCCCTTTTGCTTTTCCTTCTCTTACTCTGATGACTTTCATCTTCATCCTCTTCATCTCGGTACTGAATGGGACCTTCTGAATCAGAGTCACTCTCCTTCTCTTCTTCCTCCTGTAGACACCGTGGTAGTTTAGGAATGACTGAGGTAGATGTCATGTCTTCACTGAATGTGGATGGACAGGTTTGCTCCTCCTCTTCTTCATCGTCTGGACTAACAAATTAACATAATTATATATACATATTTTTAGAAACAAAGAGGATAACTTACTCTAAGACAAAAGACTGAAATAAAGGCTGGGAGTGGTGGCTCATGCCTATAATCCCAGCACTCTGGGAGGCCGAGGTAGGTGGATTCACCTTAGGTTAGGAGTTAGAGACCAGCCTGACCAACATAGTAAAAGCCTGTCTCTACTAAAAATATAAAAATTAGCCAGGCATGGTGGCAAGCGCCTGTAATCCCAGCTACTTGGGAGGCTAAGGCAGGAGAATCGCTTGAACCCAGGAGGCAGAGGTGAGCCGAGATTGCACCACTGCACTCCAGCCTGGGTGACAAGAGCGAGACTCCATCTCAACAATAACAAAGACATAGGACTGAAATAACTATAACAAAATCCAGGAATGAAGTAACTTATAATTCTCTACCTTACCTTTAACAATCTTGCTAAGAAACTTTTTAGCAGGTTATTAATCTAAGGGTTCTAATTCTAGCTTTACAACTTATTAGGCAGTGGTGCTTTCCAGAATTTGTCTAATGTCATTCTCACAAGCCTACAGAGTAGATATTATTCCCATATAGAGATGATATAACCAAGAGCAGAAAGCTTAAGTAACTTAACACTACTATAAGCTAAGAGTGGTAGTGCTGGAATTTGGACCTAGGACTATCTCACTCCAAGGTGAATGCTCTTAAGCACCACGTTATACAATGCCTTCCCTGCAGTATATAAAACTAGTAGTTGTAATGTTTCATGTAAGTAATTTTGTAAATGTTGCATCATTACAAAAATCTCCATAAAAAAAAAAATTAAGCCACAAGAGTAAAAAGTCCAAATTTGGCCAGGTGCAGTGGCTCACACCCATGATCCCAAATGCTTGAGTCCAGGAGTTCAGGACCAGCCTGGGAAACATGGTGAAACCCTGTCTCTAACAAAAAATACAAAAATTAGCTGAGTGTGATGGCATGCACCTGTAGTCACAGTTACTCAGGAGGCTAAGGTGGGAGAATTGCTTGAGCCCAGGAGGTGGAGGTTGCAGTGAGTTAACACTGTACCACTGCACTCCAGCCTGGGTGAGAGTGAGAACCTGTCTCAAAAAAAAAAATAAATAAATAAGCTGGGCACAGTGGCTCACACCTGTAATCCCAGACTTTGGGAGGCCGAGGCAGGCAGATCATGAGGTCAGGAGTTTGAGACCATTCTGGCCAACACAGTGAAACCTGGTCTCTCCTAAAAACACAAAAAATTAGCCAGGTGTGGTGGCAGACGCCTGTAGTCCCAACTACTTAGAAGGGTGAGGCAGGAGAATCACTTGAACCTGGGAGGTGGAGGCTGCAATGAACTGAGATCGCACCATTGCACTCCAGTCAGGGTGATAGTGCAAGACACCACATCAAAAATAAAATAAAATAAAGTTTTAAAATAAGATTTAAAAAAAAGTCCAAATTCTTTTGGCAGAGTATTCTTTGTACTTTAAATTTATTCACATTGCCAGGCACAGTGGCTCATGCCCGTAATCCCAATACTTTGGGAGGCTGAGGTAGGTGGATCACCTGAGATCCAGAGTATGAGACCAGCCTATCCAACATGGTGAAACCCCATCTCCACTAAAAATATAAAAATCAGCCAGGTGTGGTGGTACTTGCCTATAATCCCAGCTACTCGGAAGGCAGAGGCAAGAGAATCATCTGAACCTTGGTGGCAGAGGTTGTAGTGAGCTGAGATCATGCCACTGCATTCCAGACTGGGCAATAGAGGGATACTCCATCTCAAAAAAAAATATATCCACATTTTCTTTTTTTTTTTTTGAGATGGGGTCTCACTCTGTTGCCCAGGCTGGAGTACAGTGGCACAATCTTGGCTCATGGCAACCTCTGCCTCCCAAGTTAAAGCAATTCTCCTGCCTCAGCCTCCCAAGTAGCTGGATTACAGATATGCACCGCCACAGCCGGCTAATTTTTTGTTTGTTTATTTATTCATGGAGACGGAGTTTTGCTCTTGTTGCCCAGTCTAGAGTGAAATGGTGCGATCTCGGCTCACTGCAACCTCTACCTCCCGGATTCAAGCGATTCTCCTGCCTCAGCCTCCTGAGTAGCTGGGATTACAGGCATGTGCCACCATGCCCAGCTAATTTTCTATTTTTAGTAGAGACGGGGTTTCTCCATGTTGGTCAGGCTGGTCTTATACTCTCAACCTCAGGTGATCCATCCACCTCAGCCTCCCAAAGTGTTGGGATTACAGGTGTAGATGGGGTTTCTCCATGTTGGTCAGGTTCTCCATGTTGGTCAGGTTTCTCCATGTTGCTCATATTCTCAACCTCAGGTGATCCACCTCAGCCTCCCAAAGTGCTGGGATTACAGGCATGAGCAACACCTGGCTAAGTTTCGTATTTTTATAGAGATGGGGTTTCACTGCATTGGCCAGGCTGTTCTTGAACTCCTGACCTCAGGTGATCCATTCATCTTGGCCTCCCAAAGTGCTGGGATTACAGGTGTGCATCACCATGTGTGGCCCACATTTTCTTTTTATAAGTAATTTTTTCTAAGCAGGGCTATCTAGAGTAAAAGAGAAACAAGAGGCAAGCTATAGATAAAGCACTTACACTTTCAGCATTTCAATAGTGATGGGAAGAGACCTGGTCCGACCCAGTGTACTGCTGTCCTCAGAAAAGCTGTCACTGTTTTCAAAGAGCAAGGAATGAGCTCTGTGAGAGCCCTCCAGAGGAGGAGTCATGGGAAGGGGGCTAGTGAGGGCCTGCTGGATTCGAATATGCAGTGGGAGTGGAGGCAGCCTGGAGGGTAAATGGGGCTCCCCAAAGTTCTGGTCCAATATCCTCTTGGGGACTTCCTTTTTCTGATCTTCCTGCTGGAGAATCTCCTGGGGCAGATCTAAAGATGGTGGAAACTCAATTTCTGGTACAACTTGAAAAGTCGAAGCAGGAAATGGAGGGGTGCGTGGAGGCTCTGGAGGTATATGAGTAGGCAATGGTGGGGATGGAGAGCAAGGTGGGATCACTGGCAGCGGTTCAGAGCCCACAGAACACATGCTTTTCTCTCTTTGATCACTTGGTGTTTTGGTGGTGATGGCAGCAGCAGACTCCAAGGTGGGTACTGAGGTGGATGGAATGCCTCTCTTGGGTGGTAATGGTGGGGATGGTTTTGATAACAATGTACCACTGTTTATTGCTTGGGACAGTTCAGCTGGAAAAGAGAGAGCAATACATCAATTTCACATGACTTTCCAATGCTTTGAGGGACCAGCCCAGGGCCTAGAATTAATGTTGAGTTCAGTTTTAGTCTTTCTAGCAAGTTATATAATTTCATAGTTTTGCCATTCCCTACATATTTTTATCCTAAAATAAAATTTATATTTATTCAAATAAATGTATAGAGGTGTAGGAAGACTGATGAGTAGCTAGCTTCATTGCTATGACAACAGATATGACAATTTTTTTTTTAAAATTGAGACAGGGTCTCACTCTCTCATCCAGACTGGAGTGCAGTGGTGCAATCTTGGCTCACTACAACCTCCACCTCCTAGGCTCAAGCGATTCTCCTGTCTCAGCCTCTCAAGTAGGTGAGATTATAGGTGCACGCCACTACAGCCTGGCTAATTTTTGTATTTTTCATAGAGATGGGATTTCACCATGTTGGCCAGGCTGGTCTTGAACTCCTGACCTCAAACGATCCACCTACCCTGGCCTCCCAAAGTGCTGGGATTACAGGCGTGAGCCACCATTCCCCACTGACAACTTTTTATAACTTGATCTTGGTGTAGTTCATATGAATAGAGACACAAAATCTGATAAAAAGTTATTTTGTGGCCAGGCACGGTGGCTCATATCTTTAATCCCAACACTTTGGGAGGCTGAGATGGGCGTATTACTTGAGGTTAGGAGTTCAAGACCAATCTGGCCAACATGGTGAAACCCCGCCTCTACAAAAACGAAAATAAACAACAACAACAACAACAACAAAAAACCCCAAAATTAGCCAGATGTGGTGGCAGGCGCCTGTAATCCCAGCTACCCCGGAGAGGTTGAGGCATGAGAATCTCTTGAACCTTGGGGGCAGAGGTTGCAGTGAGCCAAGATCATGCCACTGCACTCCAGCCTGGACAGTGAAAGACTCTGACAAAAAAAAAAAAAAGTTATTAGTATAACAGTATACTCCATTAAAAAATTTAAACATTAAGATACCATGAAAAATAAATAATAGTGGGTATTGCTACCATATCCTGATAAATAACAATATCTAGATATCTCAGCTCTGTGTTACAACTATCAATTCTGACATCTTGAATTTTTATAGCAATTGCAAAGGTGTTTGAAGAAATCAAAGTGTTTTCTGTCCTTGAAGTCATATTCTCTTTATACCACCTGGGGTGACAGGGGAAACATGATAACATCTTTACCATTTTCCAGAAGGAAAAAGTGAGGCCACAGAAGTTAGGTGACTTTGGCCGGGATGATACTACAAACCAGCATGGACTCAGCTAGCATCCAGGTCTCTGACTATTTGACTGCATCCTACTGTCTCTAATATTTATTAGTATGCACACCTCTTATGTTCCCTTTGCACCTCACCTTACCATGTCCACTCTCCACTAAATGATGGGCTCCTTGATGGCAGGGCAACCTTGCTTCCATCAACATATCCACAGAGATGTGCATAGTACCTGGCATCTAGTGGACCCTCAGTATGTTTATTAATGAGAATCCCTCACCCTGTACATGACAGTATATATTCCTATGGTTTCACCAAAGCCCCCAGTGACTCAGCAAAGTCCCTTTGGAGGGCTCCATATGACCTGTAAGAAGTGATCATCAGATCACACAGAAACAAAACTTCCAAAATAATTATAGTAGTTCTTTTGATCACCAATCTCTAACCTTCTACCCAACTCCTTTATTTTCATCCCACTCAGTGTTCTCAAATGGTCTCAAAAACTTCCCTGAAATAAAACTGTATTTGTCCTAAATCCCACTATATTGGACACATTCAAAGTAAAAGGCTAGCTAATTTTACAATGTTTTTTTTTTTTTCTTTTGCGACAAGGGCTCCCTCTGTTGCCAGGCTAGAGTGTAGTGGTATGAACAATAGCTCACTGAAGCCTTGATCTCCTGGGTTCAAGTGATCCTCCTGCCTCAGCCTCCCAAGTAGGTAGGATGACAGGTCCACGCCACCATGCCTAGCTAATATATTTTTTTTATTTTTAGTAGAGATAAGGTCTCACTATGCTGCCCAGGCTGGTCTTGAACTCCTGGGCTCTAGTGATACTTCCACCTCAGCTTCCCAAAGTGCTAGGAAAACGGATGTGAGACACCACAACTGGCCTCTTTTCTTTTTAAATTTATTATTTAGTTAGTTTTTATTTACTTATTTATTTTTTGAGATGGAATCTTGCTCTGTCACACAGGCTGGAGTGCAGTGGTGCAATCTCAGCTCACTGCAACCTCTGCCTCCCAGGTTCAAGAGATTCTTCAGCCTCTCAAGTAGCTGGGACTACAGGTGCGTGCCACCATGCCTATTTGTATTTTTAGTTGAGACAGGGTTTCACCATGTTGGCCAGGTTGGTCTTGAAAGCCTGACCTCAGGTGATCCACCTGCCTTGGCCTCCCTAAGTGCTGGGATTACAGGCATGAGCCACTATGCCCAGCCAATTTATTTTTATTTTTAAATTAAGTTAAACTTATTTATTTTAGACAGAGTCTCACTGTGTTGCTGGAGTGCAGTCATGCAGTCACGGCTTACTGCAGTTTTGACTTCCCTGGGCTCAGGTGATCCTCCCACCTCAGCCTCCCAAGTAGCGGGGACCACAGGCTTGTGCCACTCACCATACTTGGCTAATTTTTGAGGGGTATTTTTTGTAGAGACGGGTTTCTCCAGGTTGCCTAGGCTGGTCTCAAACTCCTGGGCTCAAGTAATCTACCTGCCTTAGCCTCCCAAAGTGCTGGTACTAGAGGTGTGAGTCGCTGTGCCCACCCTTTTTTTTTTTTTTTTAGAGATAGGATATCGCTCTGTTACCCTGGAGTGCAGTGGCGCAATCATAACTCACTGGGAGCCTTGAACTCTTGTGCTTACGCAATCCTCTTACCTCAATCTCCCGAGTAGCTAGAATTACAAGCACACGTCACCATACTAAGCTAATTTAAAAAAAAATTTGCTTTTGAGACGGAGTTTCACTATTGTTGCCCAGGCTGGAGTTAAATGGCACAATCTTGGTTCACTGCAACCTCAGCCTCCCAGGTTCAAGTGATTCTCCTGCCTCAGTTTCTTGAGCAGCTGGGATTACACGCATGTACCACCATGCCTGGCTAATTTTTTGCCATGTTGATCAGGCTGGTCTCAAACTCCCAGTCTCAGGTGTCCACCACCTCAGCCTCTCAAAGTGCTGGGATTATAGGCGTGAGCCATTGTGGCGGGCTAATTTTTAAATTTTTTATAGAGATGGGGTCTTGCTACATTGCTCAAGTGATCTTCCCACCTCAATCTCCCTAAATGCTGAAATTATAGGCATAAGCCACTGTGCCTGCCTAATTTTGTAATGTTTTAATGTCACTCATCATAAGTAAATTTTTTTTGTTTTGTTTTTTTGAGACAGAGTCTCACTCTGTTGCCTAGGTTGGAGGACAGTGGTGCAATTTTGGCTCACTGCAACCACCACATCCTAGGTTCAAGTGATCTCCTGCCTCAGTCTCCTGAGTAGATGGGATTACAGGCATGCACCACCATGCCCAGATAATTTTTTGCATTTTTAGTAGAGACAGGTTTTCGCCATGTTTCCCAGGCTGGTCTCCTACTCTGGGCCTCAAAGTATCTGCCCACCTTGGCCTCCCAAAGTGCTAGGATTACAGGTGTGAGACACCATGCCTGGCCCCATAACTAAACTTTGAAAAGGGGTTTCTAGAAAAACACTGCATACACACAAAAAAAGACTCGTGAATTTTAAGAACAGTGAAATAGATATGCGTAGACTGGATTTTTGCTGATTCTCCAAAAATAGTAGTTAGCTATTCTATCTACAACAAAACTCATTCCTGGTGAGACCATAAATTAATGTTTTTACTTTTGAATTAATAAGAAATTACATTTGGTAATTTATAGAAGGCATATACATTAAGCAAGTAAATTCTGGTACATATACCCTGACAACAGCATCTGGCTGTAGTTCTGTGGAAAACCAGAGTGTTCCTGGGATAGGTAACAATTCCCTTTTACCTGTTCAGCTATTGCTGGTGGTCCTTCCTTAGTCCTAATACTCCATGTTATACCTATGAGAAGACAGTAGTACTTCTGAAGCAATGGTTTCCAAACTTTTAGATTTCAGTGACCAAAACAATTTAAAAAAATTTGATCAACCTCAGATTTTTTTTTCTAGTTTTTTTTTGAGGTTGTCATTTTCTAAGATTTCCAAATAAGATTTGATATTAAGTAAAACATTTGTGATCATAATCCTTTTGTGAAAGAAATGGCATTTTAACACCAAAGGATTAGGAAGGTTATCATTTCAGAATAAAGGAGAGTCCTTTAAGTTTATTTAGCTCTAACAAATGCTCTGTGAATTGTCCTATTTTTCTTCTTCTGCTGAGGATCCCCCATGGACTAATACTGATTCCTCAGTCATAAGGTCTATTGTTCTGGGCTATTAACCTCAAGCCAAGAATGGGCTCTGTAATTTAGTCCAGGGTATCATACACAAATTATTTTACATGTTGCCTTAACTTGAAGAGAGTGGTGTGCCACTGGTCTAGAGCAGAGGCTCTCAATGTGTGTTCCTTGAACGGCAGCATCAGTATGATCTGGGGAACGTATTAGAAAGGCAAATTCTCAAGCCCATCCCAGACTTATTAAAATCAGAAACTCTAGGGCTAGTGTCCAGCAGTCTGTTATCATAAGCCTTCCAGGTGATCCTGAGGAGAACACCAGTTTGAGAACGCTACTGCAGGGAACAGAGATCTGGACCTGAGGGTTGAAGAGCCTATGTTCAGTTTGTATCTTTCACTAACTATGACCTTTTTTTTTTTTTTTGAGACAGAGTTTTGCTCTTGTTGCCCAGGCTGGAGTGTGATGGTGCAATCTCAGCTCACTGCAAACTCCTCCTACCTGGTTCAAGTGATTCTCCTGCCTCAGCCTCCTAAATAGCTGGGATTACATGTGCCCACCACCACGCCTGGCTAATTTTTTGTATTTTTAGTGGAGATGGGGTTTCACCATGTTGACCAGGTTGGTCTCAAACTCCTGACCTCAGATGACCTGCCTCAGCCTCCTAAACTGCTGGGATTATAGGCGTGAGCCACAGCGCCCAGCCTACAACCTTAAATGAGTCACAATGTCTTCATGCTCTAATTGCACTACCTGTAAAACAGATAAAATCGGTTTCCTGCAGCACAAGGTAGTTTTGAAAATAAGTATGTGAAAGGTCCCCAAGTTCCTCATAGATAAGTCAACATGACACTATCCATCCAAAGTGGTGATAATAACAACTTCATCCTGTTTTCATCAAGCTACTCCAACCTGTCATATTCATAAAATATTCTAAGCCTGTTTTTCAAGGTTCGAATCACTCCACCCAACTTAGTGATACTAAATATTTAATAAGTGTACTTTTTATTCATTCAATCCTGAATAAAAACTTTAAGCAGTACTAAGCCTAGTATCATTTTTCCTGAAAAACTATATTTTTATTACCTTTGAAGCACTCATTAGCTTTCCTCTCCCTTTCTTGAAAATTCTTCTAAGAACTGTGCATTTATATAAAGAAAGTAGACTTAAATAGAACTTTGGGTAAATGCAGAAAATTTACTAAACCCATACAGATTTACTGATTATCTTCCCTGCTTTCTCTACCACTACTTATTTTAATACAAGAGTAGCATTCTTAACTATCCCAAGATAAAACATGATTTTATCAGAACAATTTAAGAATCTCTTCTGCAGTTCCCTATAACGATAACTATTCAGAAGATAACTAAACTGAATTCCAAGTTTCATTGTCATCTACAGAATCATCCTTTTATCTACTAGACTCATTTATGCTTATGGAGGGAATATGTAGTTTTAAGTAGATTAAAAACTTTTAATTTGAAAAGTCTGCCTTGCCCCTTGTAAGCTAAGACATTACTCTAATTTTTCAGTAAGTGCCACAGATAACTCCACGCAGGTGGAATCTGTTATGTCTTCATATAGCCAGTCCAACTATATATGATGACATATATATATATATTTTAATTTTTATATATATATATATTTTAATATTTATATATATTTAAGTTTGGGGGGTTTTAATCCATTTTTCTAAAACAATGATTCCAAAACACACACTCACTCTCTCTCTCTCTCTCTCCATATATATATATATATATATATATACACACACACATACACTCTCTCTCTCTCTCTCTCTCTCTCTATATATATATATATATATATATATATATATATATATACACATACACACACACACACACACACACACACACACACACACACACAGTCTCACTCTGCCTTGCCCAGGATGGAGTAGTGTCGTGTTCTTGGCTCACTGCAACCTCCGCCTCCCAGAGGTTGGCCAAGCTGGTCTTTAACTCCTGACCTCAGGTGATCCACATGCCTCAGCCTCCCAAAGTGCTGGGATTACAGGCATGAGCCACCACGCCTGGCCTACTTTTTTTAACCTAAGACTTTTCTCTATGTTGAGGTCATTCAAAGGGAGGAGATATGGAAAATTCTCATAGACCAAATCAATATTGTACCAGTTATCCAGTAAAATAACCATCCAATATCAAACCAAACCCAAAACACCAGAAGCCTAAAGACTTACTTACCAATGACAGGGTTGCTATTTCTGTGAGCTGGTTTAGGGGGAGGGATAGGGGGCTGCTTGGCAGGGATCATATGAGTGAGGCTTGGGGTAGCAGTAGTGTTAGTGCTGGCAGGAGCAGCAGGCAGAGTCCTTGGTGCTGGGGAAGGCGTGGCAGAGAGATTAACAGTCTTTGCGAGGCTTGTGGCAGCAGTGGTGGCAGTGGGTGCTGTGGTGATGGAAGTGGAGATGATGAACCTTGCCGTGCTGCCAGAGGAAGTAGAATCCTTTGCTTGCCCTTCATTTGCTTCATGAGAAGCGGACAAGGGTCTTTTGGGAGGAAGTAAAGGCTGTTTGGGTACATTCTCAGGAATAGACTCTGCTTCAGAATTAGGCTGGCTTCCAGTTGAGCCTGTGTAATAATATATATAAAAAGGGAAGATAGAGTAACAAGAGAGACTGAAAAAGCTAACATATCTATGAATTTATGGTTAATTCCATCAATTTATTTAATTTATAGATTATATTACAGGTTACAGTTCTCAATGCCTCCCAATCTCCCCATACTTAAAAAATGTCAGTAAGAAAGGCTCAGTAAGAGATGCTCATTGTGGTAGTGATTATTCACACAAGAGCCAGGCTGCTGGAGGAGAGGCACAACAAAATTCCTTGGGTGAAAGAAGTGGAATGTGTAGCTGGAAAAAATCCTATAGGTATCTGATACTTAACATCCTCTTCCATTCTTGAGGATCACAAATTAGGTATTTTGTGAATAAACGGGGGGCGGGGAAGAAATTCCCCTTGAAGTTGCTAAAGTATTGCTAAAGGAGAAAGTAATTCTCTTTGGATTTTACTTTTCCCTGTTCTCTTGCAAACCCCTTAGGTAAAGGAAAATAACGGTCCATGGCTCTTAAACTAAAAAATCCAGAGTTTCTTACCTAGCCGTTTCTTTAAGTCCTCTTCTGGAATAGGTTTCCTAAGACTTGCTAATCTTACTGGCTCTTCCTCTACTTGGACTGGACTAGATGATCTGGCACTCCCTATGGGGGTGGTATGGCCATTCTTTAACATGGCATGGCTTGGCTTTCCTGGATCCTCATCACCTGCAAGGTGAAAGAAGAATACAAAGTGACGAAATTGGCATGAACAGAGAGAGAGAAGAGTTAGTAAATTTTTCTTTCTCTCTCTCTTTTTTAAATTGAGACAGGGTCTTTCTATGTTGCCCAGGCTGGTCTTGAACTCCTAGGCTCAAGCAATCTGCCCACCTTGGCATACCAAAGTGCTAGGATGAATGGCATGAACCACTATGCCTGGCCAATGTTGGTGATTTGAGACAGGGTCTCACAGACCAGACTGGAGTGCAGTGGCATGATCTTGGCTCACTGCAGCCTCTGCCTCCCAGGCTCAAGTGATCCTCCTGCCTCAGCCTCCTAAGTAGCTGGGACCACAGGCGTGTGCCACCACATCCACCTAATTTTTTTGTATTTTTGAGAGAGATGGGGTCTCACTATGTTGCCTAGGCTGGTCTCAAACTCCTGGGTTCAAGCAATCCACCTGCCTTGGCCTCCAAAAGTGCTGAGATTATAGCTGTGAGCCACAGTGCATGGCCCAGAGTTGGTGATTTCTTTTCTTTTCTTTTTTTTTTTTTTTTGAGACGGAGTTTCGCTCTTGTTACCCAGGCTGGAGTGCAATGGCGCGATCTTGGCTCACCGCAACCTCTGCATCCTGGGTTCAGGCAATTCTCCTGCCTCAGCCTCCTGAGTAGCTGGGATTACAGGCACGCGCTACCATGCCCAGCTAATTTTTTTTTTTTTTTGTAGTTTTAGTAGAGACGGGGTTTAACCTTGTTGACCAGGATGGTCTCGATCTCTTGACCTTGTGATCCGCCCGCCTCGGCCTCCCAAAGTGCTGGGATTACAGGCTTGAGCCACCGCGCCCGGCCCAGAGTTGGTGATTTCTAACCTTCCTTACCTTCTTTCCCCTGTCTTCCTGTTTTAGTTTATTATTGAGATCTAGATTATCCGGATGCTTAAACAGAAATAAGTAATTTCTTTTTCCAATACATGTTTGATAGCCTATTATGTGCCAACTACGTTGTTATATGAATAAGACAAAGGCCAGGTGCATGGCTCATTCCTATAATCTCAGCACTTTGGGAGGCCAAGCCAGGGAGATCACCTGAGGTCAGGAGTTCGAGACCAGCCTGGCGGGTCAACATGGTGAAAACCCGTCTCTACCAAAAATACAAAAATTAGCCGGGTGTGGTGGCAGGCACCTGTAATCCCAGCTACTTGGGAGGCTGAGGCAGGCAAATTGCTTGAACCCAGGAGGCAGAGGTTGCAGTAAGCTGAGATAGCGTCATTGCACTCCAGCCTGGGCAACAGAGCAAAAACTCCATCTCAAAAAAAAAAAAAAAAGGGCAAACTGATTACATATAAGTAACTACAATGTTAAATGTCAAGAGCTCTAATGAGTGAAGTGCTGTGGTAGGAATGAAGAAGAAATCATTTTCCTGGGGTTGAGTATAGAGTTAGGAAGGCACCACAGAAAGTATCTGAGCTGGAGTTGAGATGGTCTTGCTATGTTACCAGGCTGGCCTTGAACTCCTGGACTCAAGCAATCCTCCTTCCTCAGCCTCCCTAGTAGATGGTACTATGGCATACATCACCATGCCTTGCTTTGAACTGGATCTTGAAGGAGTAGGAGCCCACCACACTGAATAAAGATAGTCTGTTTGGAAGAAGGAATAACATGTATAAAGGTGTGAATTTATTCAACATGTTTGGGGCACTGGCGACTAGTTTGGTCTGGCAGGAGAATAGATTCACATAAGAAATGGTTATAGGGAGCCAGGCATGGTGGCTCACACCTGTAATCCCAGCACATTGGGAGGCTGAGGTGGGTGGATCACTTGAGGTTAGGAGTTCGAGACCAGCCTGGCCAACATGGTGAAACACCATCTCTACTAAAGACCAAAGTTGGCTGGGTGTGGTGGCAGGTGCCTGTAATCCCAGCTACTTGGGAGGCTGAGCCATGAGAATTGCTTGAATCTGGGAGGAGGTTGCTGCAAGCCAGGATTGCATCACTACACTCAAGCCTAGGCAAAAGAACGAGACTCTGTCTAAGGAGGAAAAAAAAAAACCAAAAACACACAACAAAGTTGAGGATGTACACACAGGAAAGAAATGTTTGCCCCAAGGAAGGAAGGGTGAACGTTATTTTTTTAACGGCCACACTTCAACCCAAAAACATCAATACAAAAGAAAGAAAATTCAAATACCGGGCCAGGCGCGGTGGCTCACTCCTGTAATCCCAGCACTTTGGGAGGCCGAGGCGGGTGGATCACGAGGTCAAGAGATTGAGAACATCCCAGTCAACATCGTGAAACCCCGTCTCTACTCAAAATACAAAAAATTAGCTGGGCATGGTGGCGCGTGCCTGTAATCCCAGCTACTCAGGAGGCTGAGGCAGGAGAATTGCCTGAACCCAGGAGGTGGAGGTTGTGGTGAGCCGAGATGGCACTCCAGCCTGGGTAACAAGGGCGAAACTCCGTCTCAAAAAAAAAAAAAGAAATGAAAATTCAAATACCTAGACAGACCCAATCAAAGACCAAGTGCACAGAGACAAGCATATGCTATCATTTGTAAACTTACCTTGCTCAGGGTCTTCCAACAGAACCCCTCTTTTAACCAGCTCTTCTCTTGGTTTTCGCATAGATATTTTCCGTTCTAAAACTAACATTAAGTTGGAAAATGGCACTCAGAAATGTGACAGTTGAAAGTCAACCTTACACTTAGCATTCCAATTCCACAGGTAAAAGAATAAAGTGGTTTAAGTTTATATTCTCAGGAAAGAAAATAACTAGCAGACTAACTTCAAATTAAAAATCTTAAATTTCTTTTATAACCTGTGCTATTAGGAAAGCATCATTTAAAAAAAACTAGCCTTACATAATTTTGTAGCATAATAGAAAATTTCATTAGTAAGTAATTTATGGATGAACTTTGTGTGGATGGGCAGAGTAGAAAAAAAATAAGCATTTTATTTATGTATGTATTAATTCATTCAGTCATTTTCTTCACCAAGTCCTGATAGAAAGAAGCATATTAGATTTGTTACAGTTCAAGAACTCCAGCCGGGCGCGGTGGCTCAAGCCTGTAATCCCAGCACTTTGGGAGGCCGAGGCAGGTGGATCACAAGGTCAAGGGATCGAGACCATCCTGGTCAACATGGTGAAACCCCGTCTCTACTAAAAATACAAAAAATTAGCTGGGCATGGTGGCGTGTGCCTGTAATCCCAGCTACTCAGGAGGCTGAGGCAGGAGAATTGCCTGAACCCAGGAGGCGGAGGTTGCGGTGAGCCGAGATCGCGCCATTGCACTCCAGCCTGGGTAACAAGAGCGAAAACTCCGTCTCAAAAAAAAAAAAAAAAAAAAAAAGAACTCCATTCACCACTTAATAGATATTACTTCTATCCCATCAAAACACAAACCAGGGAATGAGAGTATACAATATAAGGTTTAGTAAATGATCATTTTGATGTTTAATTCTAAAAGATTAAATTCTGGCCAGATACAGTGGCTCATGCTTATAATCCTGGCACTTTGGGAGGCTGAGGTGGGAGGATCGCTTGAGCCCAGGTGTTCAAGACCAGCCTAGAAAACATGGGGATACCTTGTCTCTACAAAAAATTTAAAAATTAAATAGGCACGGCCAGGCGAGGTGGCTCAAACCTGTAATCCCAGCACTTTGGGAGGCCGAGGTGGGTGGATCACGAGGTCAAGAGATCGAGACCATCCTGGTCAACATGGTGAAATCCCGTCTCTACTAAAAATACAAAACATTAGCTGGGCATGGTGGCGCATGCCTGTAATCCCAGCTACTCAGGAGGCTGAGGTAGGAGAATTGCCTGAACCCAGGAGGCGGTGAGCCGAGATTGCGCCATTGCACTACAGCCTGGGTAACAAGAGCGAAACTCCGTCTCCAAAAAAAAAAAAAAAAAAAAAATTAAATAGGCATAACAGCTCATGCTTGTAGTTTCAGCTACTCAGCAGGCTGAGGACTGCAAGAGCCTAGGATGTTGAATCCGCAGTAAGCTGTGATTGTGCCACTGTACTCCAGCCTGGGAAACAAAGCAAGATCCTGTCTCACCAAAAAAAAAAAAAAAAAAAAAAGAAATAAATAAAAGATTAAACACCCTCTTCAAATAGAAGACTAGAGAAACTTGGGAAGATAAGGAAAGATTAGATACTTGTAACATAAAGAACTCTAACTAAGAACACACATTTAAACCTTAATATCTCACCTTCTGAAGTCTCTTTAAATTTATCACTACTTTTTTTTTTTCTCCATTTCCAGGGTTTGAAGATCTTGCCAAAGCCTGAGAACTTGCTCTTCCTTTTGGTAGGAGGTGTTGTATCTCCTGCTTCCACACTGTCCATGACCATGCCTGGCTCTGTAGCGGGCTGGTCTGCTTCCTCTGTTACATGAAGAAAAGAGAGGGAAGGGAGCAAATTTATTATTTCAGCATAATCTCTAAAATGTCCCTTCCCCTCTCTTCCTGTGGCAGTTGGAAAGGATGGGAGCAATGATAAACAATCATGCAGACAGGGAGATTCTTGGACATCACGTGGACACCAAATATCAAAATCTATAACAGATAAATTACTAAGGAGGAAAAGGAACCAAACCAAGCTGACATAATTTTAGGACAAAATCTGGTGAAATGATCAGAGCCAGCTCAAAATCTTTTAAAGGCACATGTATACAAAATGTGGATATCTTACCAAATGCATGAGATCTTGCCTTACTGAAGCAGGGAATTCCACCATTGGTAAGTGAGTCATTTTCTCTATTAAATGTTGCCCTTTCCCTGCCCTTTTCAGGATATAAATAGTTCAGGGAGAGGTAACACATTAATTGTTAATACCTTACTTATGTCTGCTCATCACATTATTTTCTCCCTTCACAAAAAGGATCCTAGGTACTGGAAGGTGCTCAGGGTGGGGGGCAGAAGCATTAGAAAGAGGGTGCATTAAATTGGAGGGAAATGTTTTCAGGAAGTAGAGGTGAGATTCCAATTTGTCTACCATAGCAGTGCTTTAGAGACAATCACAGGCTGGGCACAGTGGCTCATTCTCATAATCCCAGCACTCTGGGAGGCTAGGGCAGGTAGACTGCTTGAGCTCAGAAACTTGAAACCAGCCTAGGCAGTAAGGTGAAACCCTGTCTCTACAAAAAATACAAAAACAAGAATTAGCTGGGCATTGTGGTATGTAGTCCCAACTACTCAGGAGGCTGAGATGGGAGGATGGCTTGAGCCCGGGAGGTCAACATTGCAGTGGGCCATGACTATGCCACTGCACTCCAGCATGGGCAACAGAGTGAGAGCCTGTCTCAAAAAAAAACAAAAAAACCCAAAAAAACCATAATATTAAGGATTTGACACAAAACATAACTGACATAATACATGTGCAGGATCAAAGTAAAAGGTCATGAATCCCTCATAATGACCACACATGCAGGGTTTAGTTAGTTAGCTTTAATGGCAGAGAAAGGAGAGCCAAGGAGGGGCCAAGAATTAAAAAAAAAAAAAACCAACAAAACAAAACAAAACAAAACAAAACAGAAAAACAGCAGGAAGACAACAACAACAAAAAAAGCAGGAAGATAAGACAATGCAGTTTTGCACTCCACCTACTGTTCCAAGGTTCTCTGGAGAAGTCTAGAGAGGAAGAAAAAAAGAGTCATGTGGAATAATCATCCTGAAGTTAAAGTGGGACCCCTGCTTTGTAGAAATACATCAAGGAACAGCATATGACAAGTTAACATATTGACTGTAAACAATTTCAGATCTGAAGCAAATAACACTTTTGGAGGAAGGTGAAAAGGTCATCATAGACAGTACAAAGTTATTTATTTATTTATTTATTTATTAGAAACAGGGTCTCTGTTGCCCAGGCTGAAGTGCAGTGGTGTAATCATAGCTCACTGCAGCCTCAAATTTCTGGTCTCAAATGATCCCCCTGCCTCAGCGTCCTGAGTAGCCAGGACTACAGGTATGTACCAACCCGCCTGACTAATTACAATTTTTTTTTTTTCTTTTTTTTAAATAGAGATAGGGTCTCACTAAATTGCTCAGGGTGGTTTCAAATGCCTGGTCTCAAGAGATCCTCCCTCCTTGGCCTCCCAAAGCACTGGGATTAAAGGTGTATACCACCACACCTGGCCTCCCTTACTACAACCAACAGCACTACTTTATTTATTTACTGAGACGGAGTCTTCCTCCTGTCGCCCAGGCTGGAGTGCAATGGCATGATCTCCACCTCCTGGGTTCAAGCGATTCTCCTACCTCAGCCTCCTGAGTAGCTGGGATTACATGCTCAGGAGGCTGAGGCAGGAGAATCCCTTGAACCCAGGAGGCAGAGATCGTGCCACCACACCCAACTAATTTTTGTATTTTTTTTTTTTTTTTTTGAGACAGAGTTTCGCTCCTGTTACCCAGGCTGGAGTGCAATAGCGCAATCTCGGCTCACCGCAACCTCCGCCTCCTGGGTTCAGGCAATTCTCCTGCCTCAGCCTCCTGAGTACCTGGGATTACAGGCACGCGCCACCATGCCCAGCTAATTTCTTGTATTTTTAGTAGAGACAGGGATGGTCTCGATCTCTTGACCTCATGATCCATCCGCCTCGGCCTCCCAAAGTGCTGGGATTACAGGCGTGAGCCACCACGCCTGGCCCCAATTTTTGTATTTTTAGTAGAGATGAGGTTTCAACATGTTGGTCAGGTTGGTCTCGAACTCCTGACCTTGTGATTTGACCACCTTGGCCTCCCAAAGTGCTGGGATTACAGGTGTGAGCCACTGTGCCTGGCCGCATTGAATTTTTTAAAGAAACAACTGCAAAATTCAATCTTTTTTTAGTTGTTTGACGGAAGTATAGGGAAGTTTTTCAATAAATGTTAGAATTATACAATTGTAATTATCACAGTAAATGCAATGATGACTACTGATGCATTCATTTGCTATGCCCAGAAGACAAAATAGTGTCCTCATAACTAAAGTGTAAAAGATTGAAATGACAAGAGGACAGTGATTCTTCCTAGTTGCATGATTTATTCAAGGACATTCTGGGTCTCAATTACTTTAACATTTTAAAATGAAATGCACTAAAATCTGATAATCCTAATCTATCTATCTATCTATCTATCTATCTATCTATCTATCTATCTAGTTATTTTAGAGATAGGGTTTTGTTCTGTTGCCAAGTGTGGAGTGCAGTGGCACGATCAGAGCTCACTGCAGCCTTCAACTCCAGGACTCAAGCAATCCTCTTCCATAGCCTCCTGAGTAGCTGAGATTACAGGCAAATAGTTGAAATTATAAGAGAGCATCTCAGATTACAGGCACTGGCTAGGGCACCTGGCTCCTCTTCATTTTTAAGTAAAGAAAGACCAGCTGGGGAATATGAAGAAACCCTGTCTCTTAAAAAAAAAAAAAAAATTGGTTGGGTGTGGTGGGATGTGCCTACAGTCCCAGCTACAAGATTGCTTGAGCTCAGGAGGTCCAGGCTTCATTAAGCTGTGATTGTGCCATTGCACTCCAGCCTGGGCGACAGAGCCATACTGCTATAGTTTAAATATGTGTCCCCGCTCAAATCTCAGGTTGAATTGTAATTTTCAGTACTGGAAGTGGTTGGAGGTGATTCGATCATGGGAGTGGGTTTCTCATAAATGGTTTAGCACCATGCATTTGGTGCTGCCTTAGCAATAGTGAGTGAGTTCTCATGAGATCTGGTCCTTTAAAAGTATGTCACATCTCCCTCTTGGCCTGCTCTGGTCACGTGACATGCTTGTTCCTGATTGGTTTTCTGTCATGATTGTAAATTTCCTGAGACCTCCCCAGAAGCAGGGCAGATCAAGCAACATGCTTCCTGTACAGCCAACAGAACTGCAAGCCAAATAAAGCTCTTTTTAATTAAATTTAATTTTAAGAGACCAGGTCTCACTTTGTTGCCCAGGCTGGAGTGCAGTGGCTAATCACAGGCGCGATCCCACTACTGATCAGCACGGGAGTTTTGACCTGCTCCATTTCCGACCTGGGCCGGTTCACCCCTCCTTAGGCAACCTGGTGGTCCCCTGCTCCTGGGTGGTCACCATATTGATGCTGAACTTAGTGCGGACACCCGATGGGCATAGTGCACTACAGTCCAGAACTCCTGGGCTCAAGTGATCCTCCAGCCTCAGCATCCCGAGTAGCTGGGAATACAGGCATGCACCACCGTGCCTGGTAGCTCTTTTCTTTATAAATTACCCAGTCTCAGGTATTTCTTTCTTTTTTTCTTTTTCTTTTTTTTTAAGATGAGCCTTACTCTGTTGCACAGGCTAAATAAAGTACAGTGGCGGGATCTCGGCTCACTGCAACCTCTGCCTCCTAGGTTTAAGCAGTTCTCTACCTCAGCCTCCTGAGTAGCTGGGATTATAGGCGCCCACCACCGCGCCTGGCTAATTTTTGTATTTTTAGTAAAGATGGGGTTTCACCATCTTGGCCAGGCTGGTCTTGAACTCCTGAAATTGTGATCCATCCGCCTCAGGCTCCCAAAGTGCTGGGATTACAGGCATGAGCCACTGCGTCTGGCCTCAGGTATTTCTCTACAGCAATGCAAGAATGGCTTAATATAGGGACCTTGTCTCAAAAAAAAAAAAAAAAAAAAAAAAGTGGTTGATACATAAACAGAATATGCATAAAAAAAGAAAAAAAATAAAGCCACTGAATACAAAAAACAAAGACAAAATTTTCTTTGCTTCTTATGCAAATATGCTTGATTTTCATGTTTACAAAACTTTTAGAAGAGGAAGTCTTTCTTCTTGCCTCAAAGGTTGGAGTTGAGTGACATGGGACCCTGCCTCAGTTATCTCAAATTTACACATTAATATTTATATCCTCATATTCTCCCTTTCTTCCCCCTCTTCTTCCTACTCTCCAGGACCAACAGTACATTATTTCCAAGACTCTGAAATATGTCCAAATACTTGGAATCCGCCCAATTGCCTTTTCAAAATACAGAATCTCCAGATGGTAGGGCTTGAGAATCTGTTAAAAAAAATCTCTCCAGGTCAGCCTAGGGTCCTAAGGTCAGCCAGGTGTGTTAAACCCAATACCAGATTATTATCTGGAAACCTCATGGAAGTTAAAAGAGACAGAGGCAGACATTCTCTAGCTATAGGTTGCTTCTTTGTTGAAGAAAAATGAACTAGGAGCCAGTCATGGTGGCTCATTCCTGTAATCTCAGCACTTTGGGAGGTTGGGGTGGATCACCTGAGGTCAAGAGTTTGAGACCAGCCTGGCAAACATGATGAAACCTCGTCTCTACTAAAAATAAAAAAACTAGCTGGGTGTGGTGACGCACACCTATAATCCCAGCTACTCATGAGGGTGAGGCAGGAGAATCTTGAACCTGGGGGGTGGAGGTTGCAGTGAG